TGAACCATTTGTGACCATAGGTATAGTTATATGCAATTGAAAACAATCTTTTTCATCTTAGTATATAAAATGACTGTAATTTAGGGTGATCACTTCTATTAAATTGAATCTTCTGTGATTTCTTCATTCACTTTGCTATAAAAGAAAACTGGTATTCAGGACAACCTGCTTATAGCTTTACTGAAATTACTAAGCATGACTTTTTTGTGATTATTTTCACAGTTACCTTGTCGCCTAGGTTTTCTTTCAGACTCCAAGGTACACATTTCAAATTACCTTTCCTTTTAACATTTAGTATGTCTGGGGAGTCTAACCACACCTTTAAATTTCATAAGTTAGAAAATAAAAACCATGCTGGATTTGCATTTGGTGCCTATCATTTCTGTTTCTGATATTGCTGTGCAGCTCTTGAAAAGCAGTAGAGTACTTTTGCTTATTGGTTTGCAGCCATCTTAGTTTGGTTTCTGTTGCTGTGATAAAACACCAGTGACTAAAAACAATTTAGGGAGGAAAGGGTGTATTCATCTTAAACTCTCAGGTCACAGTCCGCCATTAGGAGAAGTTGAAGGCAGAAACCTGGATGTGGGAAGTGAAGCAGAGATCATGGAGTGATGCTGCTTACCGGCTGGCTATCTCCTTACAGTCTGCTGAGTCTGTGTGTATATTTGTTTTTTTGTTTTTTGTTTTTTGTTTTTTGTTTTTTGTGGCAGGATCTCACAATGTAGCCTTGGCTGCCCAGAAACTCAGTATGTGGACCAGGCTGGCCTAGAATTCAGAGATCCCCTGCCTCTACCTCCAGAGTGCTGGGATTAAAGGTGAGGCCCACATGCCTGCCCTCATACTGCTTTCTTATAAAACCCAGGACCACCCACAATGGGCTTAGTCCTCTCACATTAGTCATTAATCAAGAAAATGCCCCACAGATTTGCCTAAAGGCCAATTTGATGGAGCTATTATTTATGGAGGTAATTTTATTATTATGGAGGTAATTTATTATTATGGAAGTATTATGTAGGCAATATTATTATTTTACTTTTAGATTGTATCAAGTGTCAGGGCCCATAAAGATGGCTCCTCTTCATCTTGGCTCAAGGTCAGAGAATTCAAAACTCTCCTTAGTCTTCCTAGGTTAAAGTCATAAGACCTAAAGGTCTAAGGAGTGGTTGTTTTGATCTTGGTAGTGGATGTCTTATCTAAATAACAATGGACTTGGTCTGAGGTGTGGTTACTCTGGACCCTCGAGGCTGGATAAAGGGAAATTGAGTCTAAGGTATGGTTACCAAATGTTTGAAGAATTAAAGGAAGAAAGTCTGTTTGTTTCTTATATGTGACAAAGAAGTCTTTTGCCATGTCCCCCTTTTGGTTGGGGTATTTAAGAATGTAGAAGGATAAACTTGGGGCACCCAGTATTCACTGGATTGCCCTCCTGACTATATTCTGTGTCTCTGTCTTTTATTTAAGCGTCTTTACCTGCCATTTCTCAATCCACACTCCCCCTCTCAGGTAAGTACCAGGCAAGTCGCTGGATTTGGACTGAAGCCCCACAAAGATGGGCTACAACAGAATGGCATCACTGTGGGGCTACTACAGAGGCTGACAACAGTCAAGCTGACCAAAAATAAATAACTAAAAAATCTAACCAGAACTGCCCAACAACTCCTAAGTTCAAGGGCAGCTCTTCCTGCAAGGGGATAGTAAGCATATTGTGTAGATAATGCTTATAGTTAGTACTTATATAGCACTTAGAAAAGAGATTTGTGCCAGGCGGTGGTGTCAAACACCTTTTTAATCCCAGCACTCGGAGTTAGAGCCAGGCAGCTCTCTGTGAGTTTGAGACTAGCCTGGTCTACAAGAGCTAGTTCCAGGACAGCCTCCAAAGCCACAGAGAAACCCTATCTTGAACCCCCTCCCTCCAAAAAGTAGATTTGTTTATGAGATGTCACTTACGTCTTCTATCCCAACTTAAATGTGTCAATTTGTTTATCAAAGTTTCTGAAAGGTCCTGTTTGTGAAAGAGCAAATCCATTTTATTCTCTAGAAGCTAGAAAAAGAATAAGGTGTAGCTGTGTCCATAATGTTTTCCTTCTGATAATGGCTTCTTCAACTGATTCAAATGCTTTGAAGTGGAATCAACATGGTGGTGCAGGCTTTCCCACTTTGTACTGAAGGTTGTGAAGACTTGGGGACTTTAAATCATGACACCTATTTAGAAATGATACGGTTGCTTAATAAAACCAGGAAGAAGTTTAATAAATGAAGATCAAAATGTTATACCAAAAGAGACAAAATCATACATACTTGCCTATAACATGCCTATACACATTCATGAGCCTTATTGGTGACAGTTATTCTCCTTTGAAAAATTTTTAATATTTACTTTTGAGTGTGTGTGTGTGTGTGTGTGTGTGTGTGTGTGTGTGTTTGCACGTGTGTGCAAACAGGACATTGGATCACCTGGAATGGAATTACAGGTGGTTGTGAGCTGCCAGATGTAGGTGCTGGCAGCTGACAACTGAATTCTTATCTCGTATGAAAGCAGCAAGTGCTCTTAAGTGCAATGAGTCATCACTCCAGCCCCAGAATAACATTTTTAAATCCATCAAATAAATGATATGAGATCCAAAAGAAAAAAATCAGTTTTTCTGAAATACAAGAACTAAAGTATAGAAAATATATGTAAGGAAGTCATATAAGTACTTTTGTTAAATAATACGTTATAGTATCAGTTTCACAACTTTCATAATCTCAAAGTCAAAATTTGAGAGAGTTGCAACAGTTCGATGACTTCTAATATTGAACTCTCAGCTGTAACTATAGCTGGACCTTTTACTAGGGTGGACTATATAGATTCCCCCGCCCTTCATACAAGTTTAGGGACTTTCAAGATTATTCAGCATCTCTTCTGAGTAGCCGCCCTCCTGGCAGGTGTCCTCACTCACACTGATGCTGTGTTAGCCTTTGGACATCCCCATACTTGACTTCCAGAGGAAGCTTCTGTGCAGGCGAAGTCCCCGAGAAGACTGTCTAAAATTTCTAAAGACGAAAACAAAAGGGATATCAGGGCATTCGATTAAAGTTTGAGAAGAAGAGCAGGCACCTTATCTTATCATCCTCTCTTTCACTCTGTAATCTTTTCTTCGAAGTGCAAAGAATAAATTAATCAAGGGAGTGCCTGTTCAGTCAGGTCTGTGGCGAGAAACCTCGCTGCTTCTAACTTAAAATCTTCAGGCTTGCTGTTTGGGTTCCGTGGGCCGCGGCACCTTGTCGGTTTTGTGTCCAATAGTTATGTGTTGGAAGCAGAGGAGGATTATGAACATGCAGGCTGCTGGAAATAGTGGACAGACCGGCCTACATAACCCCAAATTCAAACAAAAATCAGGTACAGGAAATCACAATAAGAAGTAAACTACACCGTAATACTGTCATCTTTAAGGGTGGGGTGGATTTTGTGGCCATTGAGTACAGAGGTCTTACACCTGTTCTTGATTGTTGTAGCAGTGACACTGCAACTGGTTTTCTGGGTGTTGAAGTCCCGCCTGCCTGAGAGCGCGTTGCAGTTTGTCTCAATACAGCTTCCGTAGACGGCGGGCTCCGCCCCTGCCGGTGACTGCCAGGGCGGCGAGCAGCTAGGCTAACCGCGGCTCCTGGAGGAGCCCGCAGCTTCTATCACTGCGCAGGCTCACCAATTCCAGCACTCCGAGTTTTCCCGCCCTTGATTGGTTGACTCTGCACACACCTCGAGTTACCCAAGCAGTTCTGACCCGGCTTTGTAGCGCCCGGAACAAAGAGTACACTCTGGTTCTAACTTAGCTTGTGGGATTCTAGGAAAGCCGATGAGATGACCATTCCTGGAGCTAGGGGACAACATGTTGGCGACCTGTCATCTCACTTAATCCATTTTCTAAACCCTTGGGAGTTCCAGATCTGCTGGCAAGCCTCAGAGTTGTGCGCTCGCTAAGGCAGCCTGGAAGACTCATAGCTAGTTTTGGAGCTGGAGCCAACCATCAGGAGCCCGCAGGGAGTGTGGGAGCACCACAGCTAAGCTTTCTAGAAGAGCCCATTTGAACCCGAGTTCTATGCCCGGGAGTGTGGAATAACAGCGGGGATATGAAGGTCCTGAGGGCGGAATGTTCCATTGTGGCCGGGTTAGAGACCTTGAGGGTGAGGTGTAAGTCAGTAGTAGGCTTGCCTTCTACACATTTATCAGCAAGTCCAGAGGCAAGGTCAGGGTCCAGGAGGAGGGCTGGTCTGTAAGTCCTGAGCTGCCCTGAATGGGGCAGGGGGAAGACAGGGTTGATGCAGGAGTTTTTGTGACCAGCAGGTTAACTAAGTGCTTAAGGTTGTAAGATGGCAGGGAAGAGAGCCTGGTCGTAAGAGGTTATTATTGATGCTAAAGGATTTCTTAAAAAAGAAGGCCGGGTGTTCTCACTTTTGATCAGTCAATGAACAAAGTTAAATAGCTAAACTCACAAAAACGGGAAAACTCCTTAGATATAATTCCTGCCAATGCAACATTTCTATCTGCCCAAAACATCCTCAATCTTTTGTTTCCTTAGTACCCTAAGTTGTGGCGTTCAGAACACATGCTTAGACCTTTCTAAAGAATCAGAGAAGTCCTCAATAGTTGTCCACGACTACGATTTTATAACTGCTTCTCAGCAAGACAGAGAGGAGTTGACTAGCACGGGCTGGATAAAGCCAGATCCATGTTAATGGTTGCAAAGTTCGTTTTCGGTAATCTATTCCTCAGATTCCTTGAGAATGTCCCAAAATACAGTCATCTTCCTTTCCATGTCTCTCAGGGCCTAATTGGGTTTATCTTTCTCGGTTAGTTCGCACAGTAGGATACCATTGACTTCAAGGCGAGGCCACCCAGGAGGCGGTGCCCAGGCTTCCGGGCTCCGCCCCTTAGCGCCGTGGGCAGCCGCCAAACCCCGGTGCGCGGATCACGCGGGCGGGAGCCGCTCTGGGCATGCTCAGTGGCCTGGCAGGTGTGGCCGCCTAGCAACTCCAGGTCGGCCCGTCCCGAAGGGCGGGAGACAGGGAAGTGGGCGGGGGCGCGGGCACGGGCGCTGGAGTGGCCGGCGGCCGCGGGGTGCACGCTTGGTGCGAGCCCCCGCGGGCCGGGCCGGGATGAGCCATGGCATCGGTCAAGGTGGCCGTGAGAGTCCGGCCCATGAATCGCAGGTGAGTGGGGCCTCCCGCCCCCCACCCTCGCCACACCCTAACCCCGGGCAGCCCGCCGGTCTCCAGCTCCCCTCACAGGCCAATCTGGATTCAACAGGGACAAAACCCTGACCCACCTGGCCCTGCCAGTGGCCCTGGCGGCCCGGATGTGGAAAGGTCTTGCGTGTTGAAGGGGACTCTGAGGGAAAGTGTTCGCGAGGCTGGGGAGATTCCCATACACGTACCCATCCCAGTAACGTGAGGCTTGCTTGTTCGCCCTTTAAAAACACCAAGGGACCACGTTCGTGAAGTGAAATTTTGGGGGGATCCTGGAAGTGTGAGGGGCTCCCCGAGCTGTCAGGCACACCCTCATTTGTGCCAACTCGGACGTCTCAAATATCATGCTACTTTTTAAGCTGGAGAGGTTTTCCAGTCCCTGAACATGGACCTAATCAGTAACTTAGCAGTTGTTAAGGTTTACATGGGGGATGAGGAAACTTCAACAAAGTTTTGACTCCTTGAAGGAGAGTCACATGGCATGTGTATGACTAATGCCGATGTTAAGGGGGCACAAAACGAGAACACATTTAGAGTGTAACCTCTTATATTTTCCTACGCAGTAGTGCTTTGCAGCGTGACTCTCCTCTTTTGACTTTCTGAAAACCTTTTCACTGACTTCCTCATTAGCTTAGAAAGTATGTTGAGAAAGTTAACTTTTAAATGGGCTTAACTTCAAAGAATGAAGTACAGCTAAGAGGATGCCCTCCAAGTTGTGGGGCAGAGGTCACACAAAACCATTTGTATTTATTGCTGTCTCAGTTCTTGGACATTTGACTTACCATGTGGCCTTTCTCCCTGAGTCATATTGTTGGGACTTCTGGAGCTCAGTGTTTGCTGGTTCTGGCAGCCGACTAGGGCACCAAAAGATCATAAAATCAAGAGATTTTTACTGGTCTCTCTTGAATCTGTTTTCCTATCAGCAAGTAGAAGAGCAATTATCTTCATATATAACCATTAAATACCAGTCTTTTGGAAGTCCGTGAATTTTGTGTATGTGATTTTTAAGTTACTTCTGAAACTTTTTAGGGAGTTTGGTGTGTATATGGTCTCATGAGTGTGTGTGAGAGAGAGAGAGTCCCAGGAGAATGTTTGTTTCCTTACACACCCACTCATACAAAATAAATAAGCCCCAAAGTCTTTTAGGTGATTTAAAAATATGTTTTTAGTGAGGATTTACATTATAAAGAGTTCCTTTTTTTTGGAATATGAACATGTGCTAGGAAATAGAAAATACTTATTAAATGTGTACAAATGTACAACATTTTGCTGGGCTCTGGAATAAAAGGCAGATGAGGTGTTGCTAAGTGTCTTCTAGGAGCCCACTGTCTAAGGAGGCAGGGTTGACGATACACTGACAAGATTGATCAACTTGAACCTTCTGGAAGTGGTGCTGTGAGTTTAGTGTCTTAGAGAAGCCATATACCTTGAGGAGGCAGGCAGATGTGATGTCTGTGCCTAGCAGGCAATGCTGGTGGCTTCAGGATTGGGGTAGAAGGTAAGGAAGCATTTCCAAAAGTGGAAATGGGAAGGTGGGGTAAATACACCAAGACAGTTCCTTGGTAGTCTTGGTAGAATCTGGCCACTCATTGTATGGAAAGGAGAGGGAAGGGGAGACAGTAGCTCAAGTGTGATGTTCAAGGAGCTGGAAAGAGTTGATGAGAGCATTCTCTGCTGTTCAGACATGCATGAGGTCCAGTACGTGAGTTACAACTCAGTGTCCAGACAGTGAGTGCTGCATGCATGTTTAACTTGTTCTTTGAAGTGTGGGGACAAGGACATCATGTTTCTTGCTTGAGGCTGGTGGAATCCTGGTTAAGTCTCCACGATTCTGGAATTATCATATGGAAATCTATAGAGGAACATGGGGGATAGAGGATCATGGGAGTTGAGATTGGCTGTGCCCATCTTTAGGATTCCAATGAGAAGGGCTGGCTGCCTAGGAAATGAACCAGCACAGTACATTGTTCTGACAGGAATGAGAGTTCCCTGAAGGCTGTAGCTGCTGTTGTTATCAAATGGTACTAAATGAAGGAGTTTCATGGTCCAAGAGGTGAGGATACCAGTAACTTTCCTAAGTGTAGTTTTAGGATCCAGTGATCCAGAAAGTGGCGGTGGAGAAGAAAGAGCGACGCTAATGGCAACCCAAAGTATTTGACCTAATTCATGAGTCCTGCAGGGTATGGTGGTGATTGGAAGTAACTGGTTCTTAGCACTGCTCTGGTAACTTCATTTGTAAAAAATTAATATATGGATCAAAGGTTTATCTACCAAGATGCATTTATAAGGATAGTGTGGCTTTGCTGTAACAAAAACAGCAAAAAAAAAAAAAAAATCATTAAGTGACCAGAATATAGAAACATAGATTTGTAACTGAAGTCATGTGGTAGAATTCTTTGCAGCTTGTAGAAAATGTGGATTCATCGTAAATGAACTAATGCCAAGTTAGAAGACTGAGCAAAACAAGACACATACATACGTATAATACACACATATAGTAGAATAGAGTGTATGTCTGTGTGGGTGAAAGAACTACAGAGAGCCAGCTCAGCCTGTGGGAGCAATGTATAAGGAACCTAACAGTGGTACTTCTGTGAAGGAAGATGGGTGGCAAAGGTGGAAAGTTTCCCTTTTCACTATTTGAATTTTCACGTTCATGCATAGTTGTACAGTTAATGATTAAAAACTTGCTTGTGCGATTTTTTAAAAGCTACTTAGAGCCATTGGCTCTGGCTGGGAAGAATTTCAGGTGATTTTTGGAGACAACTGAAGGAAGTCATTCATTTATATAAAGTTAATATTTCAAGTAGGAAAGCTTCAGGCTATGCCACCAAAGCAAAAAAGAGGCCTGGAATGAAGTCAGGACGCTATTGGAGCCATCTGAAGGGGGGGGGGGGAGTTTGAGGCTTGAGCCTTTGCAGCCCTGTCTTCCCTGTGTGAACATTTGATCCCAGCCATGTTTGTTTTTACTGCCCAGTGTGGCAGCAGTCATCCCAGATGGCAGAGATCCTAATTCAGTAGCTGACTTGTCTATTTCCTGTTTGTCTTTCTCCTCTGCTCCCTCCTCCACTTCTTTTGCTGTATAGGAATTGAGCCCGGGGCTTTGTGTGTGCATGACAGGTGCTATACTACTGAACTAGATCAACTAGAGCCCTGGTCATGGTTATATTTCATAGTTATGTTTCCTTTTTTATTTTGATCAGCTTACCTAGTCTAGCCTTGAATTCACTCTGTAGCTCAAGTGAGACATCTTTATGAGCGTATGCTGTGTGCCACCAAATCCTTGCACAACTTTTAGTAGTGGAGGCATATTGTTATGCTATTTTTACAGATTGGGAGGCAATGCCTTTGTCCATTAAGGGTACTATAACAAAATCTCGTACAACTGGGTGCCTTGAAAACAACGGACATTTATCCCGTATGGTTCTGGGTGCTGGCAAGTCCAGGCTCAAGGTACTGGCTGATATGGCATCTGAAGATGGTATTTATTTTTGCTATGTCCTCACATGGGGCAAGGGGCAAATTCCTTGGTCCTATTTTGTGAGTATGATAAACCCATTTAGGAGGGTTTTGGCTTCTTGACTTAAAACCATGGCTTTGGGGCTTGGTAAGGTTTTAGCATCTGAATGTCAGGTGCACAAGTATTGAGACTGTAGCTCATAGATGACTTGCCCAAAGTAAGGGCCATACTTTTAAAAATGAGCAAGACATTAACAGAAACAAAATTTTGCTCATGATTCTTATGGGCAAAAGTTTAATCATTTTATATGTTATATGCCTTTTTCTTTGTGACATCTTCCATTGTTCTGTTGATTGTACTTTTTCTGTAATCTTTTTGTTCCCCATCCCCCACCCCCCACCCCACCCCCCCCCTCCACCTCCCACTTGGAGAAGTAACAAGCTGGGCATGGTGGCTTGGCTCACATTTATAATTCCAGCACTCTGGAAGTTGAGGCAGGAGTGTAGCTGGAGTTCTAATTGATCTGAATAATGAAAACATGGAGTCAGGTATCGGGGTAAATGCTGAAAGATCAGAGAAGTAAAGGAGCCAGCCATTAGAGAGACTTTTTACCTCTACCAAATCCTCAGACCAAAGAGGGCTTAGTTCCTGTCTCCTTCCGCCTTATATTCTTCTCTCTACCCAGCCATATCACTTTCTGTCTCTACCTCCCCAGTGCTGGGATCAAAGGTATGAGCCCTGTTTCTCCTTTAGACTGGTTAAATCTCATGTAGCCCAATGTGGCCTTGAACTCCTGATCTTCTTATTTCCACCTCCCAAGTGCTGGGATTAAAGGTGTGTGCCACTACTACCTAGCCTCTATGGTTAACTAGTGGCTAGCTTCACCCTCTGATCTTCAGACAAACTTTATTTGTTAGAGCACAAAGTAGACCACAAAGGAAGATCACCAGTTTGAGTCTAGCTTAGGCTACAGAAGTAGATCCTGTATCAAATATCAACAAAAAAATCAAAGAGAAAGAAAAGTGACAAGATAATTTAGAACCTGATTTTTCCATTTCCTGTTAATTTCCATTCCTAGTTTTTTTTTTTTTTTTTTTTTTTCCCCCCTTTTTTTTTTTTTTTTTTTTTTTTTCCCTCCTGTTTTGTTTGCTGTATTAGGCATTGAACCCAGGGCCTCATGCATCTCAATAAACAACTCTACCACTGAAACTACAATCCCCCAGGCCTCTTAATACTTTCAATTTTGAGGCAGAGTTTTAAGTCTCACTTTATTTTGAGCAGGTTGCCCAGGCTGGTTTGAACTCACTGTGTAGCCATGCTGGCCTTAAACTTTCCATCTTTCTTATTCTGTTCCTGAATAGCTGGGATGACTGAAACTTCATGAAAACATTGATGTTTCTTCAGGGTCTTTGATACTGTAGGAGGGTCAGAGCCTTAGGGTAGAAAGTCTTGAGTTACATTTTTGGTTGCATTTCTGAACAACATAAATTTGAGCAAGAAACTT